TCACATTTTCTCCCGGACTTATCATATACTGGCTCACTGAGTAGTAGAAAAGAAGATACCTTGAGAATGTTAAGGCAAGATGTTATTGTACGATTTACTACCACTTAACAACCACATTAGGCTGAGTCAAATCTTTTGTGTTGTAGCCCGTAATACAACCTAGCTGGCAAAATATTAATAGACAAAGAGAATTTTCATTACCCATTTAATGAAGGTCGAATGCCTTCACAACTAAGCCGTAATTCCATCGAATATAAGGTGACAATGTATGATATTTAAGATTGATACAAGAAAGCATACTATTTCCGCGCTGTAATTTACAAAATCCTAGAATTATATGGTCGGTTAATCCCATGCAAATGTTTTGAAAGGAATTACAATGATATGGATAAGTTTAATCATCGCTTCTCTTTCAAGTATAAAACTCACTTGTGAATTATCCCCCTAGCATTGTTTTCGTTGGTGTTTATTACTTTTAATAGCACACTAACTAGATTTACTATGCTTCTTATAGGTTTCACTTTGATTATTCTGTTTATTTATTGAAATTTACGGTAGTTTCTCAACTTCATTTGCTAAACAGAAATATTTTCGTCTTGTCCTTTCAGCCTACACTTTCGGCAAAAACAGAGATGGAGATGTTACCGGAGAATTTCCAATGCTAAGAATTGTTAATGTCAGGTTGGTTATATTATAACTATGGCATAATTTCTTGTAATCTTCCTTAAAAGGATGACAAATTAAGTTTCTGCATTACACTGAATTAAGTACACAGAATTATAGTATTCTGTCTGTAATTATCAGCTGCGTTTTGTAATAGATTATTCGACTTTCAATTTATAATATATCCAATCAAAGATTAAAAAATTTAGGGATAAAGCTGACCAATTAAAGTCCATTTGCGTCATAGCAGATATAAATTTGCAGTCGAACAGGAATGCAAGGTTTCGGGTGTCAGTTCTTGTAATAATTAGATTCACCGTCTAGCGTAGCGCAATTGCCTGTGTGCGATTTTTGAGTTCTCAGAAGTTTAGTTTGATTTTCATTTGCAGTATTAAATGTAAGATAGTCTAACTATATCAACTACTTAGTGCTTTTATTTTTCTTTACTTTACAAAAGTGGGATTATTTATAAGTCTTTATGAATACCTACATTTATGTTTCATAATATGATGACTTTGGACGTTATTATACTACCGATTCATTATTGTATACAAATCACAAGCTTCCTGAGGCAAAGTTAAACTTTAAGCACCACTAACTACCAATCAGTGAATGACCTCTAACGCACCAATCACGTGAAGGAGGCATTTTTGTGTATGAAATACACATATATTTATGAAATAATGCATAAAAACTGTAGAAAAGTGTTACAGAGGATACCTGGCTCTCACATGTGATAAGAAAAGCTCTCAGTTTTAGGTTGGAGTAACAACACAGCATAATTCCATTGTGGGTAAAATTTATTTTGATAAAGTCTCACAGTGTAATGCAATAATATTTACTGAGCAATAAATTGTGCTCGAAACGTCATCAGTAAATATTACTGTATAACACTGTGAGACTTTATCAAAATGAATTTTATCCACAATGGAATTATACTCTACCACAGTGCACAAGTACTATTCTTATATCAACAGAGTAATTTAACCACATTCTATGCATGTAATTATTTAGGTCTTCTAACCATAACAATAACTCTAATCTCTCCTGAACCTAACCCTAACGTGAAAATATCCCTAAACTTACTGTAATCTACCTCGAACCAACCCTAATGTCGCCTTTATTAGGTTAACCTAACCCTAACTTGTCCTTGGCTTAAAGAGTAACTTAATCTTTCCTGAACCTAAGCTGAAACTTGTCAGATATCCCATTTAATAGCATAATACTTCGATGAGGATATTTTACTGATGATGGAAATATTATTTGCCAGGTTTCACTAACTTGCTCAGTGAGTGTTTCAAGGTCATTGGTGCGGTTAGTGCTTAAAGTTTCTTTTTTCATTAGAATTTCTAGTAGCCTAGAGGCATTTTTTTCATTTTTCACCAACAATTTCTTATCTATTAATCATCTGACTTCGAATATGCATGCGACAAGTTCAATGTACAAAAGCTTTGATAAGCAAAGTCTTTTAAATGACTTAAGATAGGGATTTTTGATAATTGCACTACACCTTTGTACTATAAAATGGAATGCATTACTGCAGGATTTATGTACCTGATGTAGAGTTCGGCCTTGGATTAGCAATTTGCCAGCGCCAACGTCATACACCTGTTGTACCATTCGACCTTATTTTGTGGGTGACTGTAGAAGAGGACTCTGGTGGGGGCAGTGTGACTTAAAATTATTAGATGCTCTATAATTGAGCTAGTGGTTGATTTTCACTGTCGTTTTGTTAGCCGTACTGTTTTTAGATGCATATGGAAAGTGCGCACTTTGTGCAGCCTATATAACTAGCTTCACAGGAGCAAATGAGTTTGTAGACACATTGAAAATCATCCCAACACGATAGCCTTTCCACATCTCATTAGTTGTTTACCGAACAAAAGAATTAATTCATAACTGAGCAGAAAAGTTACTTCTTTAGACGATTTGATTAGGTAGCTGTTCAGAATATCAACATTAGGATTACTTTTAAATTCAACATTCATAAACAACAGTTTCTTATGAGCTGTGTGAATTTTTTTCGCATTGTCACTTTTCTGTTATGTTTTTATCACCGAATCTTGTAACCGTTTTTTATGAGCTTTCGTCAGTGTTCTCCCAGTTTATTGTTGATTTTATCATGGGGTAGATCTTTCTAATTGTTGAATACAAGAAGTGGATTAGGTTTGTCTTTCTACTCAAAGAGATGTAACTATGACAGTTCTTGTTGGCTTCTTACGGATTAGTCTGTAGGAATAACCATTTTTTTTGTCAATAAAGCATCCGGGAAATGAAGTTCAGAGTTGGTTTGGGATTCAGATGTCAACTTGACTGAATAATGGTGGTTCTTAAACTCCTCCCAGTATGTTGTCATAGTGAAGCATAATTATGAATGTTTTAAGCTCCATTTTCTCTCCTTGTTTTCATTTCCTTCAATACTTCAGGCATCTATATGTCAATCCTGATTTGAAGAATACACAATATCGGCATTACTGAGTGCTGCCTCAATCCATGCAGCTTCAGCATCACAGTATTATCCCAGCTAATCTGTTCATATCACGAGCAGTACAAAAATCGCGTGTGCGATATTCAGTCTGTTATAAGATTTATCTGGGATGGGATTAGTGATCCATTATATGAAAGCTTATAACTTATTATGTGGACTATTCTTTCATTAGCTTTCTATAAATTCAATCTTACGCTTTGCACGCTGGTTTCCAGTTAGATTACTAGTTTTAACGGATTTACTGTAGCACTTTTCCTGGAGAAGTGATATATACCTCCTATTTAAAGATGTGTCCTCAATAATATATGTTACTTCCCAATAGTGTGTATTCCTTGATGCTAATGAATATTTTCTCTAATCCTTTTTTATCGTTTATTTAGTCATGATCCAGTACTTGGTACAATGGCATTTATCTATCGAATAAGAGACTTGTTAGTTGAAAAATTCAGCGAAGCAAAAAAGAAGAATAAAAATCTTGTAGTTAAAAACAATCGGGCGATGTCTAAATTAACTCAAGAAGCCTCAAATGTGCTAATGAAATTGAGTGCAAATAACGAAATATTTGCTCAAGTATGTACTAGTTTTTCTTTTGTATACTTTCTTTTTACAAGTTACTGTTATCACTAGATGAGAGTGTAGTGTTTAGTCTCTATAATGTTGACTTATAGGTGCTTTTATAGTTGTCACTGGAATTTTATCAGTTACCCTGTACGCGGGTTTGTTTCTTCAAATATTTTGATTTATTTATGTGGAGATGTGGGGCTCATTGGCTTAAACACTCAGTTTTCAGCCGATGGGTGACGGATTCGAGTCCCATTTCATCTACTTCAGTCCAGGCAATTGTGTAGTATCGCTAGCCCACATGCAATAAATGTGGCTCTTAACCCGCCACAGGAAAAATCTGTTCCGCGTAATTAAGCTTACAACAACAGCAGAGAGGTTCATCTGTAGGTAGACTGTTGTAAAGGTATCTTCCCTTACTCATTTGTTGTACATGTTTGCTGATTCGACTGGTAGAGTTATTTCAACGTCATTAAAGCTCGTTGTTATGAAATTCTTTCATCAAAATGAAAACTAATTTGAAGCGGTACATGAAATATAAAATTATTCATTCCAGATTAGGAAACGGTTTGAATAGATTTCAATAATCAAAGTATTCTGGTAACTGTGGTAGTGTGTTTTGTTAACGATCAGCCCAATATAAGTTTTTCAGTTCTGCTGCTACTCATTTGAAGACAGTATCTTCCCTGATTAGAAAACTGGTAGTATAAAATTAATATTTCTTAATATTTCAGGTTCGATCACTAGCTAACATCAGCTACATACATAATTATTGGATAACTAGGTAGTACTGGACAGCTGTTTCGTCCTAGTTCGGGACTTTCCAACAATACGCACCCAGTGGGGCTCGAACCCGAGGGCCTTCTGGTTATCAGGCGAGCTTGTAGAGCATTCAGCCATTGGGATCCGATCCAGTCACAACTTCTCACTAGAATCCTAGGTAACTTTCTGTATGCAACCAGTCGCTAGGGTGAATCAGATTGATTTTCAAGTGTTGGTTTTCAGGGACTTGATTAGCTTTCCCAACTACATTTTCGTAGGGCTGCAAATCATATGTACTATATTGTCAAAACTTGCGGAAAATGTAAGGATGTTTGTGTTATATCGGTCGGTTGGTTTTCGACATAGAACCTTGCACTGATGTGCGGCAGTTCAAGTCGCCACACTCCATGTAGCACACAAAGCAAGAGAAGAAAGTAGGAGAAATGCATATTAAAGACAGTAAACAGAGGTGTGAGACAAAGGAATAGTAATAACGAAGAACAAAACAGTTTCATTGGAAATCATGAGTCACAAGGAGTGGATGCATCTGCGCCAGCTATTGAGAACGATTTTGAGCCATGTCACCAATTGTTTCCAACCATTGGTTTTTACCGTTCCGAGGACCCCAACCAGGAGGCCAGTCTACATCTTCCTACGTGGCTTAGACTAACTGTTGTGGATTTCATTGATTGATGAAGCCATGTTTTGGTTTGACCACCGCTAGCTTTTTTCCAGCCTGACCCTATATCATCTAACATTGCCCGTCAGTCGAGGAAGGCGATGACTAGGCATACGTAACACATGTCCTAACCATCTCAGTCGATGTAATTTCACAGTCTCGTCGATTGATTTCCCCTTCTTACCTAGCACTCGACGCCTTATATATATATATATGATTGACTTTGTACTAGTTTCCGTAAGGATTCTATCGCTGCCAGATTTGTCAGCCTTCTCTTATTATTACTTTTCACAGTGTTACACACTTCGGTTTTTGTTGTGCTGCATTAGTTTCTAGCTTCGAAAAGCATATTTAATGCATTTACATCTCCTAATGAAGCACCTTCTAAACTAATTGGCTTTCAGATAGCCTTAACTTATTATACGCAATGACTACTGCATATTATAAGCTACAACAATCAAAAAAGTGCATAGAAGTGCATTAGTTCAAGTTGCCACACTTAGGATGATATCACTATACACACAAAACATGCATGAGTGAGATAAAATAATTAAATAAGGATCAATAAAGCTTTTCAGGATTTGAAAGTTGACAAGGAGTGAAAACCATTTACAATTTCACCAAAAGTTTCCAACCAACATTATTCACTGACTTCATGGGTGTGTTGATATGATTATACGAAAAAGGAGAAAAACAACTCATTTCTTGTAACATTCACGCCTACTACTTATTTAGTAACTAATTATAATATGAAATTTGTAGTGCTTGTATTTGACCTCTTGTATCAATGCACTCACAGTGTTTCAGTTTTCATACATTTGTTTTTCAGTAAATAACACCTGCATGCATCTGTTCTGCATAGTTTTTTTTTCTTTTTAAATTCTGGCATTTTGTTTCTTAAAATGAATTTCTTAACAATTTGCTAGTTAAGTAATTTTTTTGTTGCTTAGATGAGTGTAACTAGTACAATAATCGCATATGATATTAGATGGTTGGAGGCAGTTGGCAGGAAGCCTTGGACCTAGGTTTCGTGCTAGTTGGCACTAACTAGTCAGCAAGGCGTTTCTGCAACCTTGCAGGAACTCATGTCCCTTCTGAGATTCGAACCCGCGTCACCCAGTCCTGCAGTCAGAGACGTTATAAATGGGTGACGCGGGTTCGAATCTCAGAAGGGACATGAGTTCCTTCAAGGTCCCAGGAACGCCTTGCTGACGAGTACCAACTAGTACGAAACCTAAGTCCAAGGCTTCCTGTTGGTTGCCTCTGACCATCTAATATCATCAAATCAATGTGCACCGTGATGGCGAGCTACCTAAAGTGGTGGCCGCATTGCAAACTTGACTGATAGAATTCAAAAGAATGAACACGGAACAAAGAGTACTCTTTTCGATAAATTCATCATTAGGTTCTACAATTATATATACATTATAATGAATGAGTGAATTAGTCTTATGAACGACATTAATTTTTAAATAACATCAAGTCAATAATATTGATAGATTACAGCTCAGTAGCATCAACATAAAATAAGCTGAATGTCAGAAGAATTATGAAAAATAATATTACAAATTCATGAATCTCTACTGAAGGCTAGGGCGGTAGTAGGGGCTGGACTTGTTTCTTTTGGACACAGAGCACTGGTTGTTTGAGGCAAATTGCAATAGCCTCTGCTGTTTGGAGCATGCGGTGCTTCGACGATTTTGGTAATTTTTTAGACACCCGGTATATTATAGAGAAGGATTCTTCTACACTGGCTTTGTGACCGGTTTGCACCAGATAATCTAATATCGAGCTGTTTATAGTTTAACTACACCTTTACTTAGCCATAGTGGGATATGTTCTCGAGGGAGCACGAAAAATCAAGTTCCTAGAGCAACGGCCAATATAACTGCACTAAACACAGGACTAGACACATCACACTAGTTACTAGTGTCCAATCAAAGAATCGCATATGATGCATATAAAGTCTACTTCCTCAAATAATTTTTCTTTTTACCCTAATTACATTTAGGTTGAGAATGTTTTTGATGGAGAAGATCTTAGAGTTAAAGTAACTCGTGCTGAAATGGAGTCGTTATGCTCAGATTTATTTGAACGTATTAGAAAACCATTCTTAGATATGATGTCAGATACTCCATTGGAGTCTTTGCAAGAAGTTATTCTTATGGGAGGAGGTACACGTATTCCTAAAGTACAGTCTGTTTTACTTGAATTAAGTAAAAAGTAAGTTGTTTTTCTTCACTGTATGACTTTTCAAAAAATTCTAATATCGTACTGCTTATAAATGATTCCGATCTTGTTTTCAATAGACTTAGTTTTATAGTTAAATTTTATTCTACATATCCAAATCAAGTTTACTTTTAATAATTTGAAAAAATTTGGGCATTGGGTAGAGGATACTGGTTACAATAAAGGTTTTTTTGTATTTCCCAATGAATGTAAAACAAAACGATATTGTTTTTACTGACGTTTCGCTATTTAATGTGCTGCTAATAGCTTTATCAAAGCTGTATTATTAAACCAGAATTTACAAAATCTCAACTTATATATAACAACTTAATCATCGTTCCTCAGTATGGGGTCATTTTTGCATTGTCAAGTTGGCCAATTGGTAAAGATAACAAAACCAGGTGTAGATGACTGTTGGATTTGATAAGTGTGTAAAATTATAAAAGCAGCGTGTGTTTACATAGTGGAATTGTTTATCACATTCGTGTTGATTTTATCACTTCATTGGGGAGGGGGGTGTTGTAACCAGGTCAAATTCTGTTTTAGTCCATCATTCCTATTCAGACAATTTGGATTCCATTTGATATAAAGTGCTTCTGATGATATTAGACGTTCTTTGTGATTTCTGAAATTTTTCTGGATTATTTCAATATTGTCGGTGGTCGAACAGATGCTCTACGGTGTTCATTTCTTCTGATTTTGATTTCTCGCGATGTTTGTCCGATGTATATCGCATCACATTCCAAGCATTTTATTTTATAGACACAAATAGATGGAGAAGCTTTAGGGATTTGGTCTTTTATATAGACAATGTTGTTTCGCAGTGTGTGTGATGTTTTGAAGAAAACTCTGATGTCAAGCTTATTGAGCACTCTTCTGATATCGTCTGATGTCTCTGCTCTGTATGGAATGACAACTGTTGAGATCCATGTTTTTGGAATACGTTCTCAACCATATTTAATGTTATATTATTATGATGTCGTTTAGTATGTTTTTCTAATTTATAATCGTTAAAACTTCAATTTCGTCTTTCCTGTGAAAGAAAATATATATCTGTCTAATTCAAGAGCATCAGTCCGCAATATTTCCTAACATTTTAGTTAAAGTGTCCCTTGAAACGCCTTAGGAGAACAAGTTATCCTTATAGAATTCATATAAAAACTACTTTATAGGCCTAAAGGAATATAATTGCAATGTAGGCTAGAAAATGTTGGTTTGCTCTTATTGGTCAACACATTCGGTTCCAAGAAATGAAAACTTCTGAGTTAAGTTCACAAATTACGAAAAATTTTGTTGTAGGAATATTAATTATAAATTGCTCTACTATTTTGCTGTCTGCAAATCTACTGCAATAAGCATAAAGAACAAGATTAGGATTTTCACCGCTAATGTTAAGTCACTTCTTTTTGACATGGTTCAGAGACTTGGCGCGTCACGAAAAGCATTTCCAACAGGATGTAGACCTTTATCAACAACTGCTTTTGCTCGGTACTGAATATCAGATGACTGGTCAGAAAGAATTAGCAACAAGGAACTCTGGGAAAGAATCAACCAAGAGTCGATCGTCCAACAAATATGCCGAAGGAAATAGAGATAGATTGGACAAATGCTGAGGAGACCGCTGAGTGAGATCGCGCACCAGTCAGTCCTTCGAGCGGATTCCGAATAGTAACCGACGAATTGGGCTTGGGTTCAAATGTGACAAGGAGGAGTCTTGGAAGAATGCGAGCATATAGGTAATCGTGTAGCCAGCTAAAGGCGACTGGAGGAAACAGGATGAAATGATTTTATTCTGAAGCCATATGTTTCACTCGGAACTTAGCTTTCCAATCCATGACTGAATTATAAGAGTATCTGCCTGTGACAATCTTAACAAATTGTAATTTGACGGTGTAATGCTTTAAGAGTTCATTCATTGATACCTGACTCTTAAATATACACTGAACATATTAATGTATTCACAAAAAAAATACTTCGTTGAGATTTTTTTTAACCAGTTAGCTGCTTACAGTTTGTTACTATTTTATATTTGAATAAGGCATTTAGAAGACAAATTTCGCGAGATGATGATATCATTTCGTAGTTTCTTTACAACCGCTTTACAACTAACATGGTTAACAATAATAAAATAAAGTTCATGACAATTACTCAGTTAAATAAAAAACACAAAAGTACATACTAATGACCAATCATATTTAAATAGGTCAAGTAGTCAGTTCATGGTAGGCGAAGGTTAAAGTCTATTGTTTTTTGTACACACAGTTTAGGCTGTATGTGATTAATCCAAAGTGCTTCCATCACCTTCAATAACCTTGAATTAGAGTTATGTGAAATAATTGTGAAACAGTCATTAATATTGATTATTTGTGACCTGACATTAATAAGTGTTTTGCAATGGATGATGCTGGATTTCTATTCAGATTAATCGCATTGGGATTTTCTATATGATTTAGTAACCATTTTGGAACATGTTCTTTTCGACGACATTGGAACATTCTATTGGTTCTACCTATATAGGTGTCACCGCAGCTGCAGGTGAACTTGTAGATACAGTTTGAAGTAGAGTCCACAGAATTTCGTCCTTTAATCGTAGGTACAGGGATCGAAAATGTTCGGCATGTGAGAAAAAGAGATGCGGCGTAGAATGTGCGTTTGATGGCTGACCGAAGTCTTTGAGCTGTCAACTGCATAATCTGGTCACCCTTGAATGGTAGGTTAATAAAGATAGCTTTCTTTAGTACAGAAGCTGTCTTTTCTGGATAACCATTAGCTAATAAAACTGAATGTATATGTCGAAACTCATCCATCAATGTGTCACTCGTGCATATTTTTCGAGCCCTTGAGAACAAACATGTTAGTTGTAAAGAAACTACGAAATGATGCCATCATCTCGCGAAATTTGTCTTCTAAATGCCTTATTCAAATTTATCAAAGGGACTAATTGTTACTATTTTATATTTCACTAATATATCTAATGCACCTTGATAATTTCATAATTATTTATTTGCAGGACAGAATTGCATAAAGGTGTCAATAGTGATGAAGCTGCTGCCCTAGGCGCTGTATATCAAGCTGCATTTCATACTCCTGGTTTCCGTGTAACTCGATTTATTGTTAAAGACTATAATCCTTATCCTATTGCTGTAAGTTGTTAATTTAAAAAAAAAAGTTAGGTTTTCTTTTAATTTTGCAATATTTTGCAATACTACTGAACTTCTGTGCTGACTTCTATGCTGAAATTCAGTCAGTCAGACCCTCCTGTCAGTACTTAGTGAAGAAAATTATTTATTATTTTCTTTATCATGAACTGTCGTTTCATTAAAAAAATATTTTATAGGTTGACTTTATGCGTGCTCCAGCATCATCTGATGAGAAGTTGAATAAAGACTCAAAAACTGATGCACAATCAGATTCATCACCGTATGTTCGACAAGTTCTTTTTCCACGTGGTGCTGTTTTCCCTCAAAAACGTACAATTAAATTCAATCGACATGTAAATGATTTAGACTTTTATGTGAATTATGCTGATCTTGATGGATTTGAAAAAAGGTAAATATTTTCTTTCTAACTATCATTATTTTAGTTGATTTTCATTTCTTTTCGATAGCAGTACTGCATAACTTATTTTTTTCTTTTACCTGAATTTCATAGTTTATGATATTTTTTCATATTTTAAAAGTTGTCGTTTTTTATTCCTTGTTAAAAGTTCGAATTCATGGGCCATTGAATCGGGTCCCGGTGGCTGAATGGTATACGAGCTTGCCTTGTAATCGGAAGCTCCTGGGTTTGAACCCCAATGGGTGCGTACTGTCGATGATTACCAAACTAGGATGAAACAGCTGTATAGCGCCCACTGGTTTTCAATGGTTCTCTAACTGATATCGATCCGTGGTCAACTCGTAAAAACAAATCTAATCCTTACAAACCAACTATTGAAAATTATTCCTTTACGTTCCCAGTGGAACATACGGTTTTAAGCTAGAGGCTTGAAGTTTCGCTAGCAGTGATGATTATTTTAACGAGATGGGGTTGCTAGCCAGCCTCATGCCCAACCTTCCCTCTTTACCAGTGTTATTACTGGCTTAGCGAGGTAAAGGAGTGCGTCGGTTACTGGGAATCGAACCCCAGACCACATGCGTGGCTGGCGAGCATTCTACCGCTGTGCTACCGACGCACGTAGAAAGTTGCATTTCACTTCTATACTTATCTTGACATGTATACTACTGATGATAAGCTATCGGTCATTCTCGTTGATTTCACCTTGAATGTAGATTGTTTTGCTGTATGTCATTGACTCTTGAAATTGACACTCCACATGAAACCCAGTACGACAGCATCATGATTTACTAAGACTGTAACAACAGAAGGCAAGACACGGAAGCCAAAGTATATTTTTCATTGATCAAACCGCTGTTTATATATCTACAGTTTATATTCTTTAACCAATCACTGAGCTTGTGATTTCGGTTTACATCAAACAACATGAAATAGAATGTTCAAATATACATAGTATTCCTTTGTTAATGCAGTATATAACCGTGGGAAAGTATTCTGTCTCTAACATGAAATAAAATGTTCAAATAGATGTATCGTATTTTGTTGCTAATGCCTAATTGAACCGTGTAACATGTGAGAATAACATTCCGTTGGCACACATTGTCTGTATCACACCGCCACAAGTTTAATAAACTGTGTTGCCTTATTCGGTAGGCAACTTTCTGTCAGTACATGTTGGATTTCAGAACATTCATATGTGATAAAATACTTTACATATGACGCATAAAGTGAAGTCAAGTTGATCTATGCATTGTATTCTTGTTCAAATACAGTGTGATTGAAGCGGTTGAATTCTACCCCTGTGATTATCACAATCAATCCGATGATGAACATAAGAATATGAGATAACAGAATGTCGATGGGAAGGCATTTCAACACACTGGAGGGTATATGTTTATACAGACTGTTCAACACATAATTGTGAACTGAATTGTAATTTAATTTGATGCACCTCTCAATCATATTGAATGAAGAGGTATATAAAAATACAATAATATTAGAATAGCTAGAATCAGAATGGAAGACTAGACATTAAGTGCATAACGATGAATCTGAATATGCAAAAATTCTATGGTTCTAGAAAGTATTTACGTGTATTCTTTAGTGTAATTTCATTGCAAATCGTCAAACATTAATTTTTAGATCTCTAGAAGCCCTGTGTGTCAACTGACACTAATCTACAAGGGTTCAAACTAACTATATGAGAATCTGATCACTTTGATCCTTCGAATCTCATTTCATTTCAGGTCAACATTGTCTGTAGAAGGTTGCTGGCTGGGAAAAAATAACCTTATCACCTGACTTGTCTTCTTTTCTTACCGCTTTATAATTGACTCCAGCACTAAGAGGATACGTGTAATGAAGAGAATAATTTCTTCACAGTTCTTAACTCCTGCGAAATAATGAGTTGTTGCGTACCGCACTGGTCATCCGGTTGGTGAATCTACATTTTGTTGACCGTAGAGGTAGCGATTATATTCTGAGTGAGATTTCGTTAGCATTCATTTTGTTTAGAGCTTATGAAATCGTCCAAGTGAATGGTCTCAGTGCATTTGACTAATTCATTCCCTATCCTTGAAATACAAGTTAATACAAACTAATTCCCACACTATCCATCTGACACATAGAGGTGACTTTCTGCTCAGGGCGTGTATCAGCCTCTGTGATTGTCATTATAACGGCGACCTGCTTAAATCACATTGGGCTACCAGAGTTGGCATCCGCCAAAATGCATGAACTCTTCAGCATTTCTTATTGTTTTAATCATGCAATCATATTAAATGATCACTCTACATGAACTCGCGCACATATTTAATTAGCTTTCAGCGGCCCGACCGAAAGCTGCTACCTTGACGTGGTGGTCGGGCTTGAACACCACAATGACCCAACAAGCTATACTGGCTGAGACTTATGTCGCTTGAGGTCCTACCATGCCAGAAAGGTTGTTTGGATAGAGGTGAGACAAAAAGCAGCTACCCAACCCAATGCTATGACTCAAAGTAAATCACAAAATATGATACCGGATCGGTCGGGGCCCGGATTAACAACGACCGCGCTTCCTGCTGCCGTGTCACAGGGCAGAAGTGATAAATATGCTACTGAGACACACCAATTGAAAAACAACAAACAAAAACAGGCCGCGTGTGACCGGCTAGCTCAAGCAGTTGTCCCCTGGGCTCTGCGGTCACGCAACCAACTTCCACGGTGTGGGCAGCCGGGAAGTAACAATCACCCTCACAGTCCGAAATGCACGCGAAACCTCTCTAATCCTCACTCACCTTTGTCTTCACCTTCATCTCTATTATCTTGCCTTCCTTCTACTAATGCAACTCCTCTACTTGATGGCTCTTCAATTCCTCTTCACTCTGTGTGCACTGAAAACGACGGAAGCCAAAAAACCACCATCGATAGTCTCCTAAAGCCACGCCACCGATTTCATATAGGAACATTTAATGTTAGGACACTCTGCCAAATAGGATAACAAGCATCACTAGCCAAGACTCTGGCATCCCGAGCCAGCTTTCAGCGGAAGGCTGCACAATTCTTGAAGGAAATGAAGAAAAATAGTACAGAATTGGTTCTCTCTTCATATGCAACAACACTATGTTACATGTTTTTTGTATAGTTTTTAGGTTTCAAGATGAAATAACTATTCATTATACCAACTTGTTTCATATTTTCTCCTTTTTTTTTAAAAAAAAAACTCATTAGTTTTCTGGGACCGAATTATAACCTTAGTCATGTGACTACAAGAAATGTGTCAAAGTCTGCTAAACAGTACTCATTCGCTGAACCACGTGGCGTCAAAGCGCATTTCACTATGGATCATAATGGAATTCTTATTCTTAGTGGTGTCAGTTGTATATTTCATCCAATTGAGAAAACTGAGACATCTGGTGACTCAGCAAAGGAGAAGTCTACTTTTGAAAGTGAGTTTTACTAAATTTTTTGATATGATTCACCTTCGCCTGTTGACTTGACTTAGGTTTACTCATCTTACAAATTGTGATTATGCAATGAAACAATGAATAGGTGCTTAACTTTGGTTGTGTCTTTAAATTGCAGCTTGATTATTGGTAGTAATACTGAATTTGTCTCCCACTACTTTTAAACTCTTTAAAGAAACCAGACTGTATTATTTGCTACTACACTATTAGTCGATCTCTTAAGATCAGGGTTTCTGAACAGCCAGTGTGGTGCTGTGGCTCATTGGCTTAGGCGCGCGACTTCCAACCAATGAGTGGGTCACGGGTTTGAAGGCTACTCCACGTTTTGAGGTTTGGAAAGCTGGCTAGTATCATTAGCCTTTACACAATAGGTGTGGTTCTTTGCCCCAGCTGCATGGAATTGCAAGTGGTTGTTGAGTAACATTCTAGTTTTTGTTTCACAAACAATCAGTATGTGATGCATGCCCGGTTACCATTATTTTCTATCTTGATTCAACTGGTGTTTCAAAAGGGATCAGTTTTTGATTTTGGCCTATTAGATGCATTTATTATCACCAATGATATTCCTAATTGTGGTGGACTGGATTATGCGTCAGACAGTGGGAAACGAGAAGACAGGGATATCCTGGACCGACATGAAGAACCTAGAAGACCTGGATTTCGCGCGTGGATGACTTATGTTTGATGTCACACAAAATCGAAGACTTACAAGCGAAAACCGACAAACTGGTCGAAGAAGCAGTCGGTGAAGACAGGACTCCAGGTGAACATAGACAAGACGGAGGTTATGAAAATAACCAACCAACAACAACAACAGCAGCAACATCCACCGCCAATCACCATCAACGAGAGGGATTTGAAAGAGGTTACTTCATTCACTTATCTAGGGAGCATTGTCTCAACTACAGGAGGAACGGACGAGGATGTCAAATCGAGAATCGGGAAGGCGAGAAACACATTCATCAACCTGAAACCAATCTGGAAATCTTCGTCACTCAGCATCAACAACAAAATTCGGATTTTAAATACAAACGTCAAGTCAGTCAGTTCTTCTATATGGATCAGAAACTTGGCGGGTCACAAAGAATATTTCCAACAGCCTGTTGCAGACCTTTATCAACAACTGTCTTCGCTCTATACTGAAGATCAGATGACCGGAAAGAATCACCAACAAGAAACTATGGGAACAAACAAAACAAGAACCAATCGCCCAACAAATATGCAGAAGAAAGTGGAGATGGATTGGACACTCGCTGAGCTGAGGAGGCCGTTGGGTGACATCGCGCGTCAGGCCATAGCTCGAATGGAACCCGAAAGGGAAGCGGCGAGTGGGACGTCCAAGGGTGACATGGAGGAGATCGTGTGAAGAGGAGCTGAAACAGTATGGACTAACATGGATGCAAGTGAAAAGTACAGCAGAAGACAGAAGCAAGTGGAGACGTGCAGTTGAAGCCCTATGTTCCACTAGGAACCCAAGGGAATAATAATAATAATTATAATAATAATGGGTACATTTATGTTTAAAATACAGAGCATTATCAATTATTATTTGTGATTAGTGAATTGCTCTGTGTCTTTTCTCTGTTTTAGAAATCGGTAATACTTTGAGTGGTCTCTTTGGTGGTGGTAGTGGTGGTGGTAAGAGTGATGAAGAAAAATCGTCGGATCATGATGCAAATGTCAATGAGGCAGTTGCTGGTGGCAATTCAACAGATGTCAATATGACGTCTGTAAACAACACCTCGGTAAGATTCTTCATTATACTTCATGATAATTCTTGACTTTTATTCGAGTTGTATCTCCACTATTCAAGGTCTACGGATCAAGATTCTTCTCATTCAAAGGGTAGTTGGTCTAAAAGGTGAAAAAATTGACTGGAAACCATTAGATAGGTAAATATTCGGTTCTTTAATCGATACAAGCGGGGAAGGCTCAAATGGGATGAATATTGCATAATTAGTAATTATAAAGTTGTAAAAACAGAAGCAGAGGAGTAGTAGGCACCAGTAGACAGCAGAAAAATTGATTTCCTTATTCATTTTGAGCATTTTGAATAAGGTGTTTTCTTTCTATATAGCACCAACACCTTGACTGTGCACCATTTATGAAATGCGATACCAAATAATCCATTCGATTTAGTTCTTGATGATTTTAAAAGTTTGTTATATAGTTGGGCTTTGTTACGTTTTCTCGTCCAGAACTATAAACTGTGGTTTTTTACTCATGAAGCTGTATATTTTGATTAGACACTGTGTATTGATTAACGTCATGCGTCTAATCCTTCGGTTAATGCAGACTGAATTCTGTCATGAGCTGACATCAGTTAGAGAACCATTGGAAAGCCTGGTAGTACTGGACAGTTGTTTCGTCCTGGTTTATGACTCCTCATCAGTACTCACCGAAAAATATTAGATGGTTGAATTAATCGTCAGGAAACTGTAGACCTAGGTTTCGCGATTATTGGGACTCGTCAGCAAGGCGTATCTGCAGCCCTAAAGGAACTCATGTCCCCTCCTAGATTCGAACCCGTACGTACGTGCGTGTTGATGAAGAGTTCAAAATTAGGACGAAACAACTGCCCAGTACTCCTAGGTTTTCCAATGGTTCTCTAACTAATGTCAGCTCATGATGAAATCCTCCAACCAATCAAACAAAATCCCTACAAAACCAATACTTGGATTCTATCAGTCAAATTTTGCAGTGTGGTTACCACTTATTCTACCGATTGCCTCCATCCATCTGACAGAAGGTATATATAACTGCATAAGGGAAAATAAGTATTTCCTTTTTCTCTCCAACAGTTAATACGTGTCTACGGAGAACTGTACATATTACAGACGTAGCAAATTCTTTGGTTTCTTCAGAAAAAAAATATATCTAGTTCACATGAAGTGCATTTCATATTCACATAAACATTCGTGTTATAAGCGAAATGATTTTTGTCTTAACCTTTGTGTTGATACTGATATCATGAAGTCCGTGCTTTTTAAATTCCTGATTTCTAAAGCATGATAAATACTAACGCTAAGAATACTAGTACCGAGTATTTGAAGTAGTTTGGTGGATGGTGACTTGCGATGGAATCTAGGATGTGCATTTCGTCCTATTCACGAGCCACCAGGTAGATGCACCTACATTCTCCAGTGGGTCGTAGTATTCCCATAGAAACTCCAACCCAGTACGCACCCTTTCAAACACCTAAGCGTTATCCGAAAAACTACTTAGGCTACGAGAGCCGTCTCTTGTGAAACAGGTGTCAGTTATTATTTATTTTTAATTCACTTTTGATTTTTCCGTTGGTTGATTAGAAGAAGTGGCTCTCTTAGACCTAGTGGTCTTATAGATAACGCTTTGGCGTTTGAAACGATGGGTACTGGGTTCGAGTCCCAGTGGGAACACCATCACTCACTGGGGAATGCGAGTGCATCCGGTTAATGGGTTCCAAATAGGACGAAATGCGCATCCTGGATCCTACTGCTAGTCACCACTCACCAAGTTGCTTCAAGCTAATCGTCGGACATCGTGGAAGCGTCCGTACTAGGAGCCGGCATGTCAACAGAGGCCGAACGTCTTGGTCCAATCAATCAACGGGAAAATCGAAATTGAATTAAAAATAATTGATACGAGTATTATTATTTATTTCTTGCATTCCCAATGGAACATATGGCACCAGGAGCACAACTTTATTGCGTTCAGTCACTAGTGTGACTAATAGCCAACAATGAACCTAACAACCAAATGGTAGAATAAGATTGTTAGAACAATTTTTATTGCTTTGCATTCCGAGTGGAACATAGGACTTTAAGCTTGAGTGGCAGTGGCAGTGGTTTCATTTTTATGGGATAGAGTTGCTGGCCTCACACCTAAACTTCCCTGTTAACTGGGCTTGCTACCAGCTAAGTGAGGTGAAGAAGTGGGTCATCCGGGGATCGAACCCCGTGAGGCGTGTTTAGCGAGCATTCCACTACCACTGCACCACAGACGCTAGGCTTAAAGTGCAGACTAGATTTGTAGCGTATTTATTTCTCCGACAGAAATGGGGAGTCAACTCTATTACATGTGCATTTACACAAATGTTTTATGATTAGCCAAGAATAAAATTTGAGAGGTAGGCAAACTAATCGGTTGGAATAAGGCAAATTTAAGAGTATGGTAAATTGAATTATTACCTCGGACAAAGATAGTCTTCCTTTCACTTTTCTTCATCGTATTTGAAGCATGTGTCGTCTCACATACATTAGGAGGAATTAGAATTAAGCAAACTTCACCGTGCTTCTTCAGAAAACTAGAGAAGTGAATTATTTGTGTACTTAGCGGATCCTCATAAATTGGTTTTTCTCATGATGTGTTCAGGTAAGCTAATGAATCAGGTTTTAGTAATTGCGTCGGTGGCACAGCGGTTATGACTCTCGCCGGACCATGCACATGGTCCGGGGTTCGATCCCCTTCCGACGCACAACTGATATCCATAATCGACCTGCAAAATTTGGGCTACCGATATCATATGCTGAAAATTCCACACCTGTACCAAAAATACTGTGTGGTTTCCAGCTATAATCATAATAAAAAATAAATAAAAAAAGTATTAGACTTTAGTAATTTAAGCCTTATTTTCACTTTCCTTATGATTGACTATTCAGTTTCTTTAATCATTCCAGACTACTTCAGATAATCAAACTATTTCTCATGACACTGACACTAATTCTGGGCAAAGTCAGCAAGATAATGCTGTGAAGGTAGTTTTTGCTTACACTTTCTGTTTGAATTCATTTTTCGTGCTTCGAATGCATCTTCTCATCAACAGTTGTATTTCACATTTTGTGATTGCCTTTTAGCGTCCTTCTATCGCCCATTGCATGCATCCTTTTATGTTGAGCTTCGCGTTTTGCATATTTTTATGTATACATGTATATAAATTAGATAGCATGCTTGTATGTTGTCTGTATAAGTTAAGCATAGCTGCTGGGTATCCGCTTTTTGCGCTAATTGTTGAAAAAATGTATCTTTTTTGTGATAGTTTTTCTAATTGTCATCAGTGTTTTCTGCGCTTACTTGCATTTCTTTAAAAATCTCTGATACAAACTTTATTTTAAATCTATTTCCAGCCTACAGTACCATTTCCTGAACCTATTGACTATGAAATCAATTATGTTGATTTCCCTCAATTACCTTCGGATGTGTTAGTGGCTTCATTATCTAAGTGAGTTATTGATTATATTTTTACTAATTTTTACTCTGTACTATTTGATATTTCTCAGATTGTTTCTTGTCCCTTTGTGTCCCCAGTGGTATGTGAGGCTTCAAGCATTCGACTTTGAATTTTCAGTAACAAAGGTGTTATTTCACGGGATGAGGCTGCTAGCCCCCCCCCCCCCAACACACACAGCCTTCCTTCTTTACTGAGCTTACTGTCGATCAAGCGAGGCTTAGGCGTGCCTTGGCCAGGGATCGAACACTGAACCACCGATGCTCGAGAAGTGTTTTCACCACTGTGGTCACTGTGACTGGACATCAAAACAACACAAAAGGAAAAGACGAACTGAAAGAAGAAGAAAAAACCCTCTGAGAACAGTGGCATCTCATACAGTTTGTTGTGTATTAGCTTTAGAGCTTTGTTTAATTTTATCACTCTGAGGTACATTGCCGATTACAAAGAAGCTATTCGTAGTTAAACTATTTTGTGTGTGATCATATTCGGTTGTACGAAATACGTCCTATGATTTGTAGAGAATTTTTTTTTTGCAGTAAGAAATAATTTCTCCAATCAATGTGTGGTAACAGATCTTAATGATTTACTCGTTATTTATGTACTACGAGTTGTTATTCTAAGTAAGGTGTCTCACTAATCCAATCCGAACTTTAAATCTTACATACTTGAGTCACTGTGGCAAATGCAAATTCAGTCTGCTTCTAAGGTATCAGAACTCGTGATATTATAGCGCTGAAAGTATTTTAGTTTTATCGCTTTCTAGCGAATTTATTCCTGGATTACACTATAAGTTATTCTAAGCAGTCTACAGAATTCAGTTTGAGTATTCTGTGTTTGTTGTGTCATGAATATTACTTTGGCTTGTTTATGCAAAACCTTTTTGGATTTCTCATTGTTTGACTTTGTATTTGAAACGATTGGTGCTAGGCTCGAGTCCCACTACGAGTAATAGTCATTCACTGAAATGTGCAGGTACAACCTGTTGAATAGCATCGATTGAGATGAAACTCGCATCCTAGATTTTACTGTCAACCATCAGTATTTGAGTGAAATTACTTTGCCTTCCTTATTTTAACACTCTGAGATGTTGAAGTTCAAAACTGATTTTGACTGATTACAACTAAACACTAAATATAATTGGATTTTAGATTTTCCCGTCGATTGATTAGACCGAAGTGCTCGGTCTCACGTTGACATGTCGGCTTCTTGAGCAGATGCCTCAACGATGTCTGGGCATTTAATTAGCATTTAATTGGCGGATGGTGACTAGCATTGGAATCCAGGATGCGCATTCCGTCCTATTTGGGACTTGTCAACTGGATGTACCTGCATTTCTCAGTGAGTGATGATGTTAACACCGAGCCTCGAACCCCGTGCCCATAGTTTCAAACGCCAAAGCGTTATCCACTAGATCACTTGGGCCACGAGAGCCACCTCTTGTGCAACGGGTCATATTAGTTATTTAATTGAATTTTAGATTTTCCCGTCGATTGATTGAACGGAAGTGCTGGGTCTCAGGTTTATAGGAAATTATATATTAGATTTCAATTTATTGATTTATGTCAGTATTTTTTTTATTGAATAATATAATGATATATTATACTAGGTTTTGAAGTGGAAGGTTTTATTGCAGTGGAAAAAGTGGACTGCTAATTAAGAAGTCTATATTTCATTTTGACTACAAGACTGTTTAGGAAAACCTATACAACTTACTTTTGGGATAGAGTTAATTTATTATTCTGCATTCATTATATCACTAAACAATTGTATGGTGAATTTTAATTCACACCTGTTCGATCTTCTGTTGATGTAAGCGTCATGCGTGAATACTATGGTTGATTGTGTCTCTAATCGATGATTTAGATTATGGATTTTTGGATTAATTTCAATGTAAATTTCGTCATGAAGCAACACTAGTTGGAGATCGTTAAAATCCAACAGACACTGGATAGCTATTTCGTCATTTGACTACTCAGCGTTGGAAACCCACGAACTTAGGACATTCATGTTGCTAGGCTTATCCCGCTAACAACTCAGCTGGAATTCAGTGAGACCTGGATTCTAACTTCTCTCATTTTGTGATATAGCGCAAACCCAGACCCCCTCCCACCTAATGGCTTCTATGAGTATCCTCAAAATCTACATTGGGACTAATCTGAATCTTTACAAAAATTTAAAATCTAATTGGTTGGTTGGAGGATTTCATCATGAGCTGACATCGGTTAGAGAACCATTTGAAAACTCGGGAGTACTGGACAGCTGTTTCGTCAGCCTATTTTAGGACTCTTCAGCAGTGCACACCCAGCCCGGGGTTCGAACCGACGACCCTATGGTTATAAGGCGAACTCGTATACCATCCAGCCACTGGGACCCGATCCAATGGCCCATGAATTCTAACTTTCGCCAATTCATGATATAGCGCGACCACTTCGCAAATTCTTCTTCGATGAGTTACTGCCTCACCTTCAACCTGCTGTACCCTGCTGGTCATGGCTTCCCACTAAAACCCCAGGTTCACTGTCTGAATAGGGCCCGTTTGCTAGTGAGCATCAGATTAATTTTCAAGTATTGGTTTTGTAGAGATTTTGTTTGATTGGTTGGTTGAAGGATTTTATCATGAGCTGACATCAGCTAGAGAAACATTGGAAAACTGGGAGTACTGGACAGCCAGCTGTTTCGTCCTAGTTTGGGACTCTTCATCAGTACGTACCCACCGGGGTTGTAATTATCAATCTCCAGCTCATCGGTGGCTACTGGATGGATGTCCCAAAACCATGCTGACGAGTAGTGGTCAGTGGGGACCCATCATTTCAACATGAATTGAATGCTCATCGAAGACATTGGTTGGTGGTAGCGTTATATCAGAAAGTGATACCAGTTAAAATTCATGGTTCGTTGAATCCTAACCCAAACAGCTTAATGGTCAATGAATTTGGTTTCGTAACCTGAAAGTCTTGGTTCCGATCCCTTGTGTAATCTATGGTGCACACTTGCTGAGGAGCCGAAAACTAGGGCGAAACATCTATCCAATGTTTCCTGATTCTTAATGGTTCTCTGTCTGGTGTTGGTTCGTGACGAAATCTACATTGAAATGTGTCTCTAATTGTGTTCTTCAGACTTGTGGAGAGAGAGAGAGAGGGATACAGGAGTGCATTCTGTAATTGGATGATCAGTCATAAAAAGCAATGATTTGTGACTTAAGCGTTTTGTGTGTGTTTTTCAGCTCTCTTTCTGAGATATCACTTAGTTGTCTTTTTCTCTGAAGGTAATATAAAATAAAATATTTAATTAGTTGTTTGCCAGTATGCATTCATTATTTATTATGCATACCAAGCTGTTGTGATATCTTTCAATATAAATATTCTACCTTTCTGTTAAACATTTTTTGTGGGATTTCAAGCATCAAGCTTTAACATTTCGGTAGCTGATGTTGTTTTCTAGGAATAGGGAGGGTTTGCTAGCTTCACGCCTAACCTTCCCTCATTTTCTCAGATTTATTGCTCTCTAGACGAGGTTTCGATGTGCGTCAGTCGGAAATTGAAAACCAGACCACGTGCGTAGTTGACGAGCTTTCTACTCTTTTAAACCATTGATCATATACCCACCCTTCTGTTGAATTAATATTGCCTTATTTAGTTCCCGCACTTTCTCACTTGTTACAAAGATTAATGAAAACAAAACGCGTAGAGTTCAGCTGAAAGAGACTCATTACGGCGAATTCATGCCTCTCCTTACCTTTACAATCGCATTTATATACAACTTTTTTTGATTGTATGGAGGATTTCATCATGAGCTGACATCAGTTAGAGAACCACTGGAAAACCTACAGGGAGTACTGGACAGCCGGCTGTTTCGTCTTAGTTTGGGACTCTTCATCAGTACGCACCCAAACTAGGACGAAACAGCTGGCTGTCCAGTACTCCCAGGTTTTCCAGTGGTTCTCTAACTGATGTCAACTCATGATGAAATCCTCCAACCAATCAAACAAAATCCCTACAAAAACCAATACTTGACAACTTTTTTTTCTTTAAAATTATGAAAGACGGTAGTGCTAACAAAAATGATGAGTGAGTTGTCACTAGAACAAACATAGTTGTTAATATTAGTCAATTCATAAAAAGGAGTTGTTATGAATGTATTAGAAGAAGAACTCTAACATTATTAACTAACAGATAAATAATACTCATTGAGTTGTCAAGAAAATAATTATTGTACAAGGGTGCTCATCTATGGCTTTATTCAATTACTGGGTCATACATACAATAGTTCTCAGAGAGTTTATATATATATATATACGTATCGTATCTTGCTTGTTAAAGGTACTTCAAATTAATTAAAATTATTCACATCCGGTGTTTTGTTTTTTTATTTAGCGTTATCGCATGAATTCCTAGAATTTGTTTTCTTATTTTTTTTTATAAGAATGTGATTGAACTTATCATCATTTAAAAGAAAAAACTACTTTTTTAAAAATTGTAGATTAAATAAATTACGAGAAGCAGATAAAGCTAAGGCGGCACTGGAAGCATCAATTAATCAACTTGAAACTTTACTTATTGATATACGTGATAAAATTTCAACTGATTATGCTAAATATGGAACAAAAGAAGAAATTGTACACTTAGAAGGTGTCTTACAAATTATCTCTGATTGGTTCGATGAAACTGGTCATGAGGGTACAAAAGATGTAAGTTCTAATATTTATTTTGTCATGAAATTTTATAATGGAGGCAAGGCTTCCCACCGATTGCCTCCAAACATTTTATACTAACAATTCACAGTGCACCGTGATGGCGATCCACCTAGTGGCATGGTGGCCACATTGCAAACTTGACTGATAGAATTCAGTCTGCATCAAAGATAGGACTAGACACATTACACTAGTTACTGACTAGTGTCCCATTTCCTTTATGGCTGTGAGACCTGGCCATTGAGAGTGGAAGACATGAAAAGATTAGCTGTCTTCGATCATAGGTGCCTGCGTTCTATCTCCCGTGTGAAGTGGCATAATAAAGTGAGTAATATTGAAGTTAGGCGTCGAGTGCTAGGTAAGGAGGGGAAATCAATCGACGAGGCTGTGAAATTACACCGACTGAGATGGTTAGGACATGTGTTACGTATACCCAGTCATCGCATTCCTCGACCGGCAATGTTAGCTGGTATAGGGTCAGGCTGGAAAAGAGCTAGCGGTGGTCAAACCAAAACATGGCTTCACCAGTCAATGAAATCCACAACAGTTAGTTTAAGCCAGCCACGTAGGAAGGTGTAGACTTCCTAACTGGTTGGGGTCCTCGGGACGGTAAAAACCAATGGTTGGAAACAATTGGTGATATGGCTCGAAATCGTTCTCAATGGCTGGCACAGATGCATCCACTCCTTGTGACTTATGATTTCTAATGAAACTGTTTTGTTCTTCGTTATTACTATACCTTTGTCTCACACCTCTGTTTACTGTCTATATTATGCATTTCTCCTACTTTCTTCTCTTGCTTTGTGTGCTACATTGAGGGAGTGTGGCGACTTGAACTGCTGCACATATGTGCAAAGTTCTATGTCGAAAACAGACAGACAGACAGTGTCCAATCAAAAGAAAGCGTATACTGTAAAGCGGTATACTGAGTAATTCACTAAAAAATGTTGTCTTATGACTGATTGGTTTCAACATAGAACGGCGCACAGGTGTGTAGCAGTTTGATTTGCTACTCCGCTTCCATGCAGCACATAAAGCAAGAGAAAACAGCAGAGAGACAGATTCAAAAGAGAGAGAGATAATAAACAGAAGTGTGAGGCAAAAAGAATAGTAATATGGAAGAACAATATAGTTTTATTGGATATGACAAATCACAAAGAGTGAATACATCTGCACCAGCCATTGAGAACGATTTTGATCCATATCACCAATTGTCTCCAACCATTGGCTCTTAGAATCTGGAGGACTCCGACTAGGAAACCAACTTGCACCTCCCGATGTGGTCTAAACTAACTGTCATGGATTTCATTGACTGATTTCATGTGTTGGTTTGATGTTAATTAGCTTTTTTTTGCAAACTTCTTATTCGTTTATTCATGTGAGAATAGGCTTAGCGGGGAGGAGGTGCATTGTATGACGTGGCATCAATATGTGAAGTCATTGACAGTTGGTGTAACCCATGTAGGGAGTTACAGACTGTCTGGTTAGTGTCCTCGGTGTGCTGATAACTATTGGTTGGAGATTGTTAGTGATATAGCTCAACACTAAAATTTCCAATTCACCGTTGCTTCATTTCACTAGTTTGACATGTTCAGTATCTAGACAGCATCTTCTGTAACAATATTTTGCAGCTCATGGAACCACTTATAAAAAGACAAAAGTGTAATAATATGGGGAGCCGAAATGTCATTGTTCCAAAAACGAATATTCCAAAGTCATTCTGTAACAATACAAGATAAGGGCCAGGTAACAGTTCGTTTATTGAGAAAATCAAGTGATATTTGTGTATATTTATGTACATTATTATTAGCGTAATTGTTAGCAGAGAGGCAACCTCTTCTGATTGGTTGTTACCATGCTGAAGATTATTCTGTACTGCTTGTGACCGTTTCTTAGAAAGTTAAGCCATATATCTGCGAATCCCATTTGCACACGTTAAGTCTGCTGTGATTGGTTAGTGAGCTCTTCAAGGTTAAGCTTTGTTCTTGTTTTTTTCTCATGACCCTGATTCGGGACGTAGATATTAACGTAAATTATTGTCTGCAATTTTGGCTCTCACCACAATTCGAATAAAAAAATCTGGTATCTGAGATAATTAACACTCTTTAGGCCAATACTCGACAGTTCATCTGTCCGATCCCTAATGACGTCGTGAATTACACAAGACACACAGTGTTATCAGCAAATAACACCCAGCTTATATTGACTAGATTACTTCTAATTCTGAAAAAATCATTCACAACTACCCCACTATTAACAGTGTATTTTGTTGATTACTACACTACCAAGTATATTCAAGTCATCTCACAAAATGATCAAAACGCTCAGTAAATGATGATTTTAAACAGGTCAAATCTACTCAAAGTCATCAGTGTTTGTAAGAGAAACTAAATATAGACGTTCTCAACTTACTACACTAATCAGGAAAAACAGCTGCTTGTTGTACAACTGTGTTAGTAGCATCACTCTCATTGTGATATTAACGCTACTCTGAGTTTAAAATGATTAATCAGCAGTGCCTTTTATTGGAGTCGGTAGTTTGATTTCTATTATACTATTGTCAAGACAGTGAAATGAGTTGTTATGACAGCCAGTAATTCAATATCCCTTTCACATACAAATGCATTAATTTCATTTTATGATGAAGCTCATTGGTTCTGCATTCGAATTATCTGTCAAAGGGTCTTGAGTGTGAATCTCACTCCAACTACTCTAGTCTAAGCGAATAATTAGTAGTATCATAAGGCCCAACACTATCAATGTCACCCATAGTCTGGTGGATAAAAAATGTGTTCTCAGCAACTGAATTTTGATAAGAATTAACTTACCTGTGATCAGTCCATGAAGTCTTTCAGGGTTAGTTTGAGCCAACCACGTATGCAAGTGTAGATCGCGTCATTGGGGCATTCTCAGAATGCTAAAAAGCAATTAGTTGTGTTCGCTGAGCTGGTTGGTTTAATTGCGCAGCTTTCTTCGTCCTTCTGGACAACATCTTCAGCGCAAGTTTTTTAAGCATAAAATGAACTGACTTAGATTCTCCATGAATGCCAGAATTTTTTCTCCTGGCCACCATCTTCATGACTGTTAAAAAGCGATGTCTGGGGACTACTGGTGATATGGCTGAATACCGTTCTCGGTGGTGTGGATGCATTCATTCTCTCTCTGATGTACCAGATCTTCCAGACCCTCCTGTACACTTTTGCTCATTATAGTTGTGTTGAATTTCTTTCTTTTTGTTTTTTTTGTCAATATTTTTTGTGAGCTATATGGAGTGTGACAACTTGAACTGCTGCAGTTCGGTGCAAAGTACCATGTTTAAACTCACTCACTCAGTCAGTCAGTCAGACAATAATCAATCTCTTGACTTATAACTGTTATCACTGAAGAAAACTAACTGGTATTCACTAAATACAAATTCTATGGTGGGATGTATTATGCATTTATGTTTCTACTTTAAAGCTATTGTTACTACCTGGTTGTCACTTTTATACAGTGGAGAACAGATTGATGAAGTGTTCATGGACTGTATAGTTTTTATAATCCTAATAAATTATTATGTTAATACTATTATTCCTTATTGCATTTTACTTACTTCAGGAGTATGATTCAAGAATCAAAGAAATGCAAGTGATAATTAATCCTATGGAGAAGAGACGTATTGAAGCTAAACATCGTCCAAAGGCTATGTCATCATTTGATAAGACACTAGCACTAGCTGATAAAACTTTAGCACAAATGATTGAATTATCAAATCTATTCGCTAAAACATTAAAAGCTATGCCAGTTGAACAGAATGAATCAACACCTGGATCTGAACGATCATGGTCAAATGTATTCACTGAGGTGGAGATTCAAACATTTACAAATAAGATTAATGAAACTAAGGTAAGTTTGTTTTATGAGCTTTCTTTTTCTATCACTCATAATATCGTTTAAGGTGTGAGGTGGTGGTATGCTTGGAAATAAAATCGTTTATTTTCAAGTATTGATTTTACTGTAGGGATTTTGTTTGCTTGGTTGGTTGGAGGATTTCATCATGAGCTGACATCAGTTAGGGAACCTAGGAGTACTAGACAGCTGTTTCGTCCTAGTTTGGGACTCATCGGCAGTACGCACCCACCGGGGTTCGAACCCAGGACCTTATTATTAGTGTTTCTTTGGGTTTCGAGTGGAATATGCGGCTTTACTACCATATGTCCACTTTGTCCTATTCTCTTTAAGTGCCTCCATGATTGCCCATAGTCTCCCATCTCCTTTATGGTCACCCTCGGACACACGCCAAACTCGTCGTTTCCCATTCGGGTTCCACTCTAGCGATGGCCAGGTGCGTAGTGTCATTCGATGGTCTCCTCAGAGTGTGTCCATCTCCACTTTCTTATGCGTATTTGTTGGGCGATAAGCTCTTGATTGGTTCGTTCGAGGGTTTCTTGTTGCTAATTCTTCCTGACTGGCCATTTGATCTTCACAATGTGGAGCCAGCGAAGGTGACTGTTGATAAAACTCTTCAGGTGGTTATTGGAAACGCTTTTTGTGACGTGTGAGCCAAGTTTGTTGACTCATATAAAAGCAGTAACTGACTTAACATTGGTGTTGGTTGATACGTGCTGCCTTTTTATAACGTTGATTTTTAATAATCTATTTTTGTTAATGAAAGTTTTTAAATTACTTATGTCTTCCATTCAATTTCTCTATTTTCTTTGGAAACCATTTTTGAACTTTATGTATTTAAAACACATAAGTAGGGCGTTAATTCTAATCTATCTTTTAGAGAGATGAATTTGGCGTAAATAATATTAGATTTGTATTAAGGTGTGAACTTGTTTTCTTTTTTTTTACTGAAGTTTCAAAGTGATTATTTTTGACATAATTAATGTCTAATTAATTACTGAATACAATGATGTGGTTTTTTCTTCCTTACACTATGGAAAAATTAACAAAAATAAAGATACTTGTAACGATAAGTAAGACTTCAATTGAACATGGAAAAGACAGTGGTGATGAAGAAGCCCCCAACCAACAAACAGCAAACATCAGTCACTACCAATGGAAGAAGTCTAAAGGAAATCATGTCTTTCATTTACCTGATCTGAACCAAAAAGCATCATTTCAACTACAGGCGACGGCACAACTGAAGATGTCAAGGGCAGTCAGAATCGAATCAGTATGTGGATTTACAGGACTAACTACTTAGCATAAGGCACAAGATTCGAATTTTCAACACTATTGTGAAATCAGTCAATGCTTCTGTCTGGTTCAGAGACTAAGGCAATCACCAAAAACAGGCTTCTGCAGACTTTTGTCAACGCATGTTTTCCGTCGATTCTGAAGGTCTGATGGTCAACTAGAAAGGAACTTTGAGAACTAGCTGATCAGTCAAAAGCCTATCGTTTGAAAATATGCATAAACAAAGAGAAATTCATTAGACATACATTGAGGAAACTGTTGGGAGACATTGCACGTCAGGCAATCAGGTGGAACTTGAATGAGGAGCAACGGGTTAGATATACGAGAGTAAATCGATTGACGATTGTTTGAACGGAAAATAAAAGCTTGTGGGGGTAATGGTGGAGTCAATTAGAGATGATGGTAGAGAATTCAGTGGAGTGGATGAGTTGTGCAACTGAAGCCCTCAAGTCGCTGTCCTTTCTCCTTTTCTGTTTTCTTTCTTCTTGCATGACTTGCCTCACTCTGATGAAATGAACTTTGTTAAGTATGCCGATGATCTAACTATTTCAGTGTCTGTTAACTCTCAGCTTGACTGTACTAAGATGAACAGCTTTCTATCAGGAATTAGCAAATGGTCTTCGTCTAACGGCCTTAAACTAAATCCTTCCAAATGTCAGACTGTTAATTTCAGTTTCCGATGTAAGAGAAAGTTAAATGAAGCTGTTGGTCCCTATGACCGTTGCAAAATTGATGATACTGATATAGAAACCAAGTCTGAAGTTAAGTATCTTGGATTAATTCTCTCTTCTAACCTATCCTGGTCTTCCCATGTATTAGCGATTTCTAAAAGAATATTTCGTCTGACTTTTTACATTAAGAAGTTGAGGTACTCAGGCATAACCCAACCACTCCTCTTACAGTTTGTCTACTCGTGTATTTTACTTATTCTTCTTTATTGTTCACCCTTATTCTTTCTTGGATTGCTTAAAAAAGACTATGTCATACTTCGTAGAACTCTAAAAACTGTCAGTAGGACGAGTGGTATCCCATTGAGCCATATCGTTTATATTGTCACCGATAGGCACTTGATGTTATGCAACAAATTCGCTAAAGGAATTTTGTCAGATTATGAGCATCCACTTTACCTGCAGCTCCAACCTTGTGTCTCCTCAGGTAAAACAAGAAGTCTTTTCAGAAGAATTTATGCACGTACGTCTAAGTATAAAAATTCCACTATACCATACTTGGCACGTATTTTATGTGATGAAAATAGTGTCAGGGTCAAGCTGACTAACCTCCTTTGCACTAGTAAACAAACCATTTCCTACACCCTTACAACATCAAACTTTATTGTTATTGTATTTCTTATATTTATAATCCTCTCAATTTTTGTTTTGTTTATTTTTTCTCCTAAGTGTGGACATAATTTAAGCTGTGTTACAACTGTTAATTTTGTATTTCCCCTCACTATACTATATCAACAGAACATTAGATCCAATAATCTATAACATGCTAAAATTTCCAAATTGAATCGACAATACTGTTTGAAACAAACTCACTGTTATTATTATTATTACTATTATAATATTTAATATTCTCAATTCGTGCTTCGAATATTTTTGACTTTATATCGTAAACGTGGACAAATTCCTCTGGTTACTTTTGTTTTAATTTTTAATTTTATTGATATTTTAAGTAAATCAGATGCAATATTGTAACAAATGCTGAGAATTCCATTCTGTATTATAAGTACTGTTTTTGGAATAAAGTAGATTATTATTATTATTATTGTGTTGCACTCTGAAAGCATGCAATGAATAACAGTAATAATAACAACAAAGACATTTAAAGAAGTATAACTATCAAATAATTTAACAATAATGAACACACAATGCTTGTCTTCTATTTGAAGGCCTTCATAGATTCAGATTTCATAGTTTATAAAACCCCATTTAGGATTATTATTCTTTTTTTAAACTATCACTAATAAATCTATTTATAAATAAATATACTACTTTGTATTTCATAGACCTGGTTAGCACAATCCACTGATGCTTTGAACAAATCACCAACTCAACAAGATCCTCCTGTACTGGTTTCTGATATACAGACTAAAGAGAAAGAATTATCACGAGAAATTGTTTATCATACAACGAAAATGGATTTATGGAGATCAGAAATTGCTCGTATGTTTGCTGAACAAACGAAAATGAATTTCACAGCATCACAAACAGGTTTGTCATTATTTTTTCTTTATTATTTACTATTTTAAATGGGTTTTTGTTTATTCTTTCTTACTCATAGTTTAGTACCAATATTTTGATAGAGAGAGAGAGAGAAATCGTTTTTATCAAAATCATTCATAAGTCGATTACACCGTAGCTTAAGTGTCTGACTTTCAAGTTCGTATCCCTATTACGCTATTTCAATTGGGTCACCTGTTTTGTACTTCAATATGCGTGAGTTGGGCAAAGGTAAAATGTAAGATGATGCTACAGGATTGGAATACATTGACTCCTAGCTTAAAGATAGGAGATGAAGTGGTAGAGCGTGTCGACCACTTCACTCATTTGAGGAATTACATCAGCCCCAACCGGTTGGTCGCTGATGAAATCTCATCACGTATACCAGAAGGCTGGTTTGGCATATACCAACTTATACCATCTCTGGCGTGGACGTGATATCCGGCTGGCCGTCGACCAAAGGGCGTGTTGACTGCTAAGCAGTTTGCTCTATCCTCCTTTATGGCTGTGAGACATGGCCATTCAAAGTGAAGGACATGAAAAGGCTGACTGGCTATCTTTGATCATAGGTGTCTGCGTTATTCCTCCTGTTTTAGGTGGTATAATAAGGTGAACAATATTGTGGTTAGGCGTCAATTGCTAGGTAGGTTGTAGGAGAAATCAATTGACGAGGTTGTGAAGTTACACTAATTGAGATGGTTAGGACATGTTAGCTGACTGACATAGGATCAGGTTGGAAAAGAGTTAGAGCTAGTGGTGGTCAAACGAAAACATGGCTATATCAGTTAATGAAATCCACAACATTTAGTTTAAGCCAGCCACGCAGGGAGGTATAGACTGACTTCCTGGTGGGAGTCCTCCAGATGCTAAGAAGCAATGGCTGGAGACAATTGGTGATATGATTCTCAGTGGTGCAGATGTATTCACTCTGTGTGATTTTTCGTATTCATTATAACTCTATTGTTCTTCCATATTACTATTCTTTTTGCCTCACACTTCTGTTTATTATCTCTCTTTTGAATCTGTCTCTGCTCTTTTCTCTTGCTTTATGTGCTACATGGAGGGAGAGTGGCAAGTCGAACTGCTGCACATCTGTTCTCCTTTTTGTGTTGAAACCAGTCAGTCACGCGAATCAAGTATGTAATACGGGTTTTGTTCCTGCCTGACAGACTTACAAACATCGTCTAGCTTATTAGCTGATAGTATACCCATGGCTAGCGAACCCACTTCGTAAAAGCAACACCATTACTACTGGAATTCGCTACTGAATTCAAAGCTTAATTAAAGCCCCAGATTCCACTCGGAACTCAAGGAATGAAAAGAATCAGTTCGGTACATCACTAGTTTATTTCGCATCTTAGAGCCTAGTGCACACATGCATATATATATATATATATATATATATTTAAAATATAAACTTCTGTGGTGTTCTGACAAATGAAGTTAATATATTATAACCTGCTATTCATTAAAAGCTTTAATCAAAGACATATCCATATTTATATAAACAGGTTAATAGTCAACCTAAAAAATATTACAATCTGAACTGCTATCAGGTGAGGAAGGTTTCTTCAAGGTATGGAAAATCCCCATGTTATGTAATTAAGAACACACATATATCAGGACAGAGATCTTTTTTCCTAACTTCACTTGAAATCTGTACATTTATTTAGGGGGTTTACATTATAAAATCTCACTTGATAACAACAAAGGTTCAGGGATTATTGGTAGTTAGTGCGTCGGTAGAATGCTCGCCAACCATGCAGGTGATTCGGGGTTCAATCGCCGACCGACGCACTCTTTTAAATCCTAAACCAATAATAAGGTTGGTAAAGAGGGAAGGTTGGGCATGAAGCTAGCAACCATATCCCGTAAAAATAAAAACACAACTGCTACCGAAACTACAAGCCCCTAGGTTAAAGCCCTCTGTTCCACTGGGAATGTCAAGGAATAAAATAAATAATAACAGTAATAAAATAAATCAAAGTGTTTGAGTAATAACAATGTTTGGAAAATCGAGAATAATCTTGCATAATCAAGGGGTTGACAAATAATTAGTTGAGTGATGAATAATCATTTGGGAATGATTGATAGGAAACAGGAGAACAAAGGATTAAAAATGGATTACAAAACACAAAAATAAAACTAACTAAAAATGACTATAGAGTTCACAATACAAGAATTCAGGAAAGCAGAAAAATTGACATTAAGGCCATTGGAGTGAAAAAAAGGCTGGATAAAACATTTCTGAACACACAAAGTTCTGATTTTCCCTTATGGATTACTAAAGCTTCGGTTTCATGAAGAAGATGTAGGCGAAATCCTTGTGAACAGCTTGATCATACGTTTGATATGACTTTGAATGAAGTCTCTGCTGATGTTACCAGAAGTGATAATGTGCTTCATAATTGAGCTGTTGACTGTTCTGCGTTTTCATTTTGACAACTATTGTCAAGGAACTTAATCCTAAGATCCTATTATTTCTAAAAACGCTCTGAATCGACAACCACTAAGCACAGATATCGCCTTTAATTCCAAAACACAATGGATGACAAGAAATTGTATTCTGCGATTGTTAAAATCAATATTCTGTACTAAGTCTATAAACAAATGTTTTTACAAGGAATCTATTGTATTCAGACAAAGCAATAAGAAGACGTAATTTGTCTGAATCGTGTAATGCTGTATTTGTGCAACACGTTTCGAACAATCTGATCACACACACGGACTTGTCATTGGAATATATATGAAATTAATAAACAGTTAAGAGGTGAGAAAATAGACTTAGGTCAAGTTAAAAGGACATATTGAAGGTCAAAATAACAATGAAGATCACTAAACCAAATAAAAGAGGTAATAGTACATCTACCCTGGCATGTATCAGAACAAAATTTACCAAGGAAGGTTTAATGTGATGAATTGTTTTCGAACGCATATAGGTGGTTTAAACTTTCTAATTGCTAGGGCTTCCACAAACTTTAGGATTCGCCCCAAACATGTTTTATAGAAAGGGTTAAAAGATGTGTAGGCGTCAATTTTATTTCCTGTCTCTATAATATGTTTCGCAATAGAGGAACTAGGTCTCCTGTTCTCACCATTAATGGGTTCTGAATGTATTGTACTTTTATTCGTATTCTTTCGTATCTTCTTCTAACTTGTACACGATCGAATCACTCGCGCCTTCAAGTTGCCCGCCAATGGCGACCAAAGCCAATAAACAAACGTTCAATGTTCATAATCATTGACAACTATTTTGATAAGTGTTCATAAGTGCATCTAGACAATGTCCTGTCGGTGTGGCCTATGTACTTAGATCCACGGGAGATTTCTGTTAAACAGATTATTTATATGGAAAGAAATTAATCTTTCTTGATTGTGTAGAAGAGATTCCATTTTTGAATTGTCAGTGATTTGGAGATAATTTAGTGGAATTTGTAAACCACGATGAAGAAACTCCTAAAGGTAGTCGGATGTCTAGAAAAGTTCAGATTTCAGTGCAAAACATTCAATTATCCCATAATTTCGAGTTTATTCTTCATTTCACTAAATGATTTTATTATATTCTTGTGGCAGTTGTACTGTTATGAACAGAGTACTACATTACCAAGTTCTTGTGAAACTGGTAAAAACAATTTTTTTCTTTAAACATTGGTTGATCACTAGTCGTATTTTCTTTTCTTTTTCTTTTGGCTTACATTTACAGTGAAACCGGATGAAGGAGAAAAAGTGGTGAAGGGTGGTGATGATAAGTCAACTGTAGAGCCAGTAGTTATCCAAAAGGATGAAGAATCCAAGAAGTCAACACCGGAACCTACACGTAAGTTTAAAAGAAAAAAACTGATAAACTTTAATTTTATTTCATGCCACCTCAAATCTGATCGTCATAATAAACAAGCCGTAATTGCACTCATCGTTTGATCTTCATAATTATTATCAACCATTTTGTGACTAGAAGTTAATTGATGGATGGTGACTAGCAGTGGAATCCAGGACAACGCGCATTTCGTCCCATTTGGGACTCGTTAACTGGATGTACCTGCATTCCTCAGTGAGTGATAATGTTCCCACCGGGGCTCGAACCCAGTGCACATAGTTTCAAACGCCAAAGCGTTATCTACTAGATCACTTGTGACCATTTTGTGACTAGTTCTGATAAAAATGTCTCGTTTTTGTGGCATTTGCATCTCAGTCTCATAAACTGGTGATTCCATAAGTGACTTTTCTTGGAATCTGTTAGATTCAGTTAACAGCATAGCGATCATTTTCATTCAACTGCTAGTTCCACATCATCAAATTTAAGGTGTTATTATAGATTGATGTCATCTTTCTGAAGATACTGGTAATTTTTCTACATTCAAATCTGTTGTCTTGTCATTATTAGTTTTGGTTAGTAATGTAAACATAACTTTACTCTATTTTCTAGGTATAACTAACTTCTATATATATATTCAGTTCAAGGTTAAAATATTTTAGGTGTACAATCTTTAAAAACAATCTGTTTACTTCAGGTTGTTATTAAATTAGCAGAAAATTGTTAGCACCCTGGCTAGTTTTGTTGATCCACATATATGTACTAGAGCACCAATCATAAGGCCTTCACTTATCTAGGCAACATCGTTCCAACTATGGATGGGGATGTGTCTGTCTTCGACATAGAACTTTTCCACCGATGTGCGGCAGTTCAAGTCGCCACACTCCCACCATGTAGCACACAAAGCAAGAGAAGAAAGTAGGAGACATGCATAATATAGACAGTAAACAGAGGTGTGAGACAAAGGAATAGTAATAACGAAGAACAAAAGTTTCAATGGAAATCATAAGTCACAAGGAGTGGATGCATCTGTGCCGTCTATTGAAAACGATTTTGAGCCATATCACCAATTGTTTCCAACCATTGGTTTTTACCATCCCGAGGACCCCAACCAGGAAGTCTACATCTTCCTACGTGGCTGGCTTAAACTAACTGTTGTGGATTTCATTGACTGGTGCCATGTTTTGGTTTGACCGCCACTAGCTCTTTTCCAGCCTGACCCTATATCAGCTAACATTGCCCGTTGTCGAGGAAGGCAATGACTGGGTATACGTAACACATGTCCTAATCGTCTCAGTCAATGTAATTTCACAGCCTCGTCTATTGATTTCCCTTCCTTACCTAGCACTCGACTCCTAACTTCAATATTGCTCACTTTATTATACCACTTCACACAGGAGATAGAACGCAGGCACCTATGATCGAAGACAGCTAATCTTTTCCTGTCTTCCACTCTCAATAGCCAGGTCTTTCACAGCCGTAAAGGAGGACGGAGCGGATGTCAAAACTAGAATCGGAAAGGCAAGACAAAACCTTCAGTAATCTGAAATCAGTTTGAAAATCTTCTTCACTCACCGTAAATAAAATATTCGTATGTTCATCACCAGTCAGTTCTTCTATATGGGTCAGAAACTTAGTGCATTACGAAAAGCATTTTCAACGGACTATAGTCTTTTATCAACTGGTTCCTTCGGTCGATACTGAAGATTAGATGGTCTGTGAAAAAGAATTAACTGCTAGGAACTCTGGGAACGAATCAATCAAGAACCTAATAAATATTTCTAAGGGAATGGAGATGGAATAAACGTACACTGAGGATGCCGTCGAATGACATCGTGCGCCAGGGCGTCGCTGGAGTGGAACCCGAACGGAAAACAACGAGTTTGGCGAGCGTTTGAGCATATTATGGAGGTGATCGTGTGATGAGGGAATCAGAGCTTATGGTCAACCTTGGGGCTATCTGAACAGATCTGCAGAGAACTGGAAAAAACAATGGAGATATGCTATTAAAGCCATATATTCCACTCAGAATCCAAGAGGACAGTGATAATAATAATACAATTGGATTTTGAGTTGTGGCTAAACGGCATCACTATCTTTCTCAATTAGTCGGTATAATTCAGTGTATTGGAGTTTTAATGGACAACCTTTGTAGGAATGGGTCAATAGCTGAATGGTAGAATTGCTCACTAGCTATGTATGCGACCCGGGTTTTAATCCTGGTTGATGCACTCTTAAGTTTCGCTTATTCTGCAGCAGTATCACTCTGTAAAAACAACTTCATCGCTACCGAAACTTCAAAAACAAGTGGTCCTATGTTCCACTCGGAACTGAAGAGAATAAGAAATACCCTTTCAGGAACTATTTTTCACCTAATCATAATGAGAGAAGAAAAACGAAGTGTTAGTCAACAACCACTTGCGTAACTCCTTGCAGTTTAGTAATGAGGCACACCTTTTGTGTGCATAAGCTAGTGATACTGTGGTGAGAGCTGGCTACAAGCCAAAAATTGTAGACAGCAATTTACGTCAATGTTATGTCCCGAATCGGGGTCATGAGAAAATCAAAAAAAAAGCTTAACCAAGAAGAACTCACCAACTAATCACAGCAGACCTCACGTGTGGAAATATGATTCGCAGATATATGACTTGTTTTTCTGAGAAACGGTCACAAGCAGTACAGAGTAACCTTCAACAGGAAAACAACCAATCTGAAGAGGTTACTTCTCCGCTGACAACAATGTACATAAAAATCTATAAATATCTCTTGATTTTCTCAGTAAACGATCGGTTTTCTGGCCCTTGTCGTCTGTCGTTATAATACTACCCGACTGTCCTAACTTTGGTAAGTAGAGCGGGGTTCGAGCGTGTGACTCCATTGGTAGCTGGTTGGTAGTCGAGTGTCTAGACCAGTAGACTCACATCTCCCTAATTCTGATAACTTCTTTTATTCCTTCACGTTCCCAGTGGAAAATAGGGCTTCAAGCTAGTGGCTTGAAGTTTCTGTAGCAGTGTTTATTTTACAGGGTGGGGTTGCTAGCCTCATACCCAACCTTTCCTCTTCACCAGCTTTATTTATGACTTAGCGAGGTAAGGGAGTGCGTCGGCCGGGGATCGATCCCCGGACCATGAGCATGGTCGGCGAGCATCCTAACCACTATGCCACTGACGCACAATTCTGATAACTAAGTGTAAAGTATTTTGAGTAAAACTATTATTTGATGTAAGCTATTTAAAAGAAGGTAGTTAAGAGTTTTATAACCGAATTGAATGTGATTTGATGAATAATACTTTTTCTAATTACTTTTTCTTTTTCTTAATTGCCTAAATCAGCAACACCAAGACCGGAACTGTGATATGAAGAATTGTGAACCCGAAGGAATTTCAATCATTTCAATCGTATATGTATATGTAAATGTCAGTTAAGCCTTCTGCTAGTCTTTGTGTGTATTTGATTCAAATTTATCCTTTAGTGGTTACTTACTTTAATATCCAATCGTACAAAAAAATACACTGCTGTGATGTTCATTCACTTGATTGCTTGCAGTAAGTAAGTAAGGTATTTCTCTTTCTTTTGTATACTTCTGTCTTAACTGGACCCTGTTTCGTAGAATGTTATTGTAGGGCGTTAATTTTCAATTATTGTTGTTAACACACACATATATATACATATACATAGATATTTTTCTATTTGTATGAATATGTGCTGTGTTCATTGTTATTTTGAGTATTTTACTAGCGATAGTAGATTATTTATTTATTGTCTACTATGTATACTTCCCATAATATATGTGTATATGTTTATTGATTTTGACCAGTCCTCTTTTTTGTTTCTTTGTTAGTTTGTTAATTGTCTCTATATTTGGGTATTTTTTATTGTGAAATATATACAAGTTTGAACAGTAATAAAAAGTGTACATTGGTTTCGTTTTTGATTATAATTTAAAATTGAATGAAGAAGAAGAATTGCTTGTTGTTATCACGGCGGAGTGTTACTCATTTGTAGTTGTCGTTGTTGTTACAACTGAACTGAACTAATCCGAATAAATCCGTTCACTACTTTGTTATCTCTGCGCCTGTTAATTACTATTGTAACGATAGAAGACAAGGGTCAGGCAATAGATCGTTTATTGAGAAAATTAACAAATATTTATAGATTTTTATGTACATTATTATTAGCGTTATTGTTAGCAGAGAAGCGACGTTTTCTGATTGGTTATTCTGTCATCTCTTTGTGGCCGTTTCTTTGAAGGTCAGATCATATATCTGCTAATCGTGTCCGCCCACGCAAAGTCTACTGTGATTGGTTGTTGAGTTCCTCAAGGTTAGGCTTTGTTTTTGCTTTTTCTCATGACCAAGATATGGGCCGTAAACATTGACGCAAATTGCTGTCTACCAATTTTAGCTAGCAGACAGCTCCCACCACAGTATAACGGTAATGAACTGGACTGGTACGCTAAAATACGTCTATTTGAATAAAGCAAGAACGAAAGTGGTTTGTGCAGAATAATATGGTACCATCATTTATTTCGTAGGCTTCTCATCAGCTGCTTACAGCCTAAATACATAATGAGGTTTGCGTACAGAAAAGTTTTAACATACTTGCAAATTTTTACATGTTGCCAGTTGACAAAAAAATCCACAGTAAGTGAACAGTGCTCAGAAAATTGCGCTTATATAGTTTTTACACATGCAGTTCAAGTTTAAACAAAATAGATGTATGCATACAATGGTAAAGGAGTTACGTAATAAAGACGAAATATGAGTTAGATACAGAGTGACTAATAAATTAGGTAACAATGTACTGAGTTCAACTCAAATCATAGAAACAAAAGACAAGCAAAATTACAGAATATAAAAGGGGGTGAGGTTAAAGACAAAGATTACGTAATCAGATGAGAGAATAAAGACATTCAGTTACCAGGGCAAAGAGAGATTAATAACTGCTTCTTTCTGAACACATAAATCTGGTTTCAAGCGTTTGATAGAGATTGCTTCGGCAAACTTGAGGAGAATGGAACTCCTTTGTCTATTGATAATTTTAAAGGATTTCTCGATTTCTACCTCATGACCCGTGTCGAGAAGATGTCTAGTGATAGCGCTGCTATAAGAGTTTGTTCCCTTGAGACGTAGGCTTCTTGGCACATGTTCAGAAAATCGGAGGTGTGCCCTTCTTTCTGTTCTCCCAATGTAACTGCTCCCGCAGATACACGTAAATTTGTATACACACTTGGAGTTAACATGAGAAGGGTATCTATCGACTTTTGACTGCACCAAAGAGCATGTTGTTCGATGGACGGGAACCAACTTAGCTGCAGGATAGGCTCTGGCTAGTGATGTTCTCAGTCTTCTGTTGACCATTTCTGCAATGTTTTCACCTTTAAAATCTAGTTGAATGAAGACAGGCTTTTTTTCAACTGTGATTTGTTTGGTATTTGAGTCTTCACATCTTCCATATTTGTTTATGAATCTTTGAGGGTAACCGTTATTTTTCAGCACCTTTTCGAGGAACATAAATTCTTCCTCTAGTTTCTCTGTAGAGCATATTCTCCTTGCTCTATAGTACAGAGTCTTGACTAGTGCTCGTTTATAGCTATTTGGACAAAAGCTATTAAAATGTAAGTATTGTCCATTCCATGTAGGTTTTCGGTAAATTGACCTCTGGAGATTACCATCTTCTAGGCGTTGCATGGCGATGTCAAGGAAATGGAACTTCCCGTCATTTTCATGTTCCATGGTAAATACAATATTTGTATGTGCTTTGTTGAATAGGCTGAGTAGGTAGGAGGCATGACTGTCGTTTTTGCATACTACAAATGTGTCATCGACATATCGACAATAGGAAGTTGTTTGATCGATTGCATGCTTCAACTTTGTTTTCTCAAGGTTTGACATGAAGATATCTGCTAGAACAGGGCTAAGTGGACTGCCCATGGCTACGCCATCTATTTGTCGGTAAAGAGTGTTATCAAACTGGAATTGTACATCCATGGTACACATTAGCAGTAGGCGTTTGAATTCTGACTCTGGTAGTGGAAGTAGATCAGAATGTTGACAAATGATTTCAATGGTTTCATTGATTGGGATCATTGTGAACAAGGAGGTTGCATCAAATGAGACCATGAACTTATTTAAAACATTCATATGATTCACGCTTTCGGCGAAATGAAATGAGTCTTTTATGGTATGCACGGCTAGACGTCGGCGAATGGGTTCCAACTTCTCCGCAAGCCAACGGGCAACCTTATGTTGAGGAGAGTTGATCATCGAAAGTATTGGTCTTAGAGGGACTTCTTTCTTGTGTATCTTTGGGAGGCCATACATATATGGCAAGCGGGACCCTCTGGGCTTTAATTCATTGTACGTGTTGTTGTCAATCAAATTCTTTTTTAGAAGATCTCTCAGTACATTGGTGATGCGTTTTTCAGTTGCATCTGTCTTGTCTTTCTGGCAGTCGTCGACTTTAAACCTCAATGGGTCATTCAGCAGAGTTTTCATTCTTGCGATGTAGTCATCTTTATCCATCAGTACCACTCCTGAGCCTTTGTCAGGTCGCAGTATGACGATTTTGTCATTATTTCTGAGAGATTTCAATGCCTTTCGATGTTCTTCAGAGAGGAATTTGGAATATGATGTTGGTGAAATGAGATATTGATTTGCAACGTCGACCAACTTAGATTTGAACCAGCTCTTCCTGTCCTCATCAACTGGAGTAAGGTCATTCAGCTGATAGAATAGGTTTTCGAATTGAGCTGCGACATCGGTTCTGTTGATAAAGTTATTCGGGATATGGAAGTTAAATCCGAGGGAAAGTGCTTCCATTTCAATGCGGCTTAAATTCAAACTCGACAGATTATACACAAACTCCTCAGGATTTTCTGGGAAGACGTCACATAGTTTCTCCTTCGTCAGGGATTTCGACAGAGTTTTATAGAAATCTGCACATGTTTTCTGTTGCAGCTCTTGAATGAAATTGATGAATTTGATCCGGCATACTAAATTTAAATTATTGACGACAGCATCAAAGGATCGGGCTTCAGTTCTCAATTTTGAAATCAGAGACTCTGTTGATTCAATATGCGATTTCGTTATACGTCGAAGGTTCCTGAGGGAGGGCGGTAATTTGCAAGTACGTAGTGACTTCATGAGATGGCGAGGAAAGCAGTGCGACTGCAAGCATTCATCGTAAAATTTTATTCGAGTCACTTCTCTGGATATTCTGCAACGAATTGTCACCAAACGATCCAGTGACTTGAAAGATTCTGCGGGGAGGCGATTTTTGAGAAACTTCATGCATTTATTCCCCTTGATGAATTTGAATAAAGCAAGAACGAAAGTGGTTTGTGCAGAATAATATGGTACCATCATTTATTTCGTAGGCTTCTCATCAGCTGCTTACAGCCTAAATACATAATGAGGTTTGCGTACAGAAAAGTTTTAACATACTTGCAAATTTTTACATGTTGCCAGTTGACAAAAAAATCCACAGTAAGTGAACAGTGCTCAGAAAATTGCGCTTATATAGTTTTTACACATGCAGTTCAAGTTTAAACAAAATAGATGTATGCATACAATGGTAAAGGAGTTACGTAATAAAGACGAAATATGAGTTAGATACAGAGTGACTAATAAATTAGGTAACAATGTACTGAGTTCAACTCAAATCATAGAAACAAAAGACAAGCAAAATTACAGAATATAAAAGGGGGTGAGGTTAAAGACAAAGATTACGTAATCAGATGAGAGAATAAAGACATTCAGTTACCAGGGCAAAGAGAGATTAATAACTGCTTCTTTCTGAACACATAAATCTGGTTTCAAGCGTTTGATAGAGATTGCTTCGGCAAACTTGAGGAGAATGGAACTCCTTTGTCTATTGATAATTTTAAAGGATTTCTCGATTTCTACCTCATGACCCGTGTCGAGAAGATGTCTAGTGATAGCGCTGCTATAAGAGTTTGTTCCCTTGAGACGTAGGCTTCTTGGCACATGTTCAGAAAATCGGAGGTGTGCCCTTCTTTCTGTTCTCCCAATGTAACTGCTCCCGCAGATACACGTAAATTTGTATACACACTTGGAGTTAACATGAGAAGGGTATCTATCGACTTTTGACTGCACCAAAGAGCATGTTGTTCGATGGACGGGAACCAACTTAGCTGCAGGATAGGCTCTGGCTAGTGATGTTCTCAGTCTTCTGTTGACCATTTCTGCAATGTTTTCACCTTTAAAATCTAGTTGAATGAAGACAGGCTTTTTTTCAACTGTGATTTGTTTGGTATTTGAGTCTTCACATCTTCCATATTTGTTTATGAATCTTTGAGGGTAACCGTTATTTTTCAGCACCTTTTCGAGGAACATAAATTCTTCCTCTAGTTTCTCTGTAGAGCATATTCTCCTTGCTCTATAGTACAGAGTCTTGACTAGTGCTCGTTTATAGCTATTTGGACAAAAGCTATTAAAATGTAAGTATTGTCCATTCCATGTAGGTTTTCGGTAAATTGACCTCTGGAGATTACCATCTTCTAGGCGTTGCATGGCGATGTCAAGGAAATGGAACTTCCCGTCATTTTCATGTTCCATGGTAAATACAATATTTGTATGTGCTTTGTTGAATAGGCTGAGTAGGTAGGAGGCATGACTGTCGTTTTTGCATACTACAAATGTGTCATCGACATATCGACAATAGGAAGTTGTTTGATCGATTGCATGCTTCAACTTTGTTTTCTCAAGGTTTGACATGAAGATAT